AAAGCTGAGATGATTTTTGTTTGCACTTTTGAACAAACTAACATTGCAAACTGCTGCACCCAGCTAAACATGATGACACAGCTACAGCCACCCTGCAGACTCAGCTTTCACACGTGTCATCAGAGAGCGATGGGAAGCAGTCCTTACAACGCCGTTAGACTAGACTGTGTGATCACAGGTTAATGAAACGTTACCTCCACCAGAACATCAAAGATATCAGTGGACCAAAGAGCCAACCAATCACACGGCTCCACCGTCTTCTCCAGGTAGTCTGCTGTGAAGTCCTTCACCTCTGAAGGCTTACAGTCTCCTACACACACAAGAACACGAGACTGACATCAGCAGTCTGATTCCTCAGAGTTATGATTAATATTACCAGCCGTTGGTTACCGAGCATGTAGTCCTGGTAGGCCTTGAACCTCTCGTAGAGCAGCAGGTGGCTGGTCTGGAGCGTGTCAGGAAGACGTGAACCTGAAGGCGGCTCACGTCTCTGCAGCCGCGTCCCCGACGCTTCAGTGTTGTAGTAGTATGTCCCACTGTCGTCATCACTGCCATCTTCATCTTTCTTCTCCTCCTCGTTTTTAAATAAGGCTGTTAAAGACACCATGGAGGAAAACCTTCGTTCACATGGACTTTTTCACTGGTCAGAAGCAATAAGACTGACGGACTGTGTTTAAATTAACCTCATAAATGTCAAACATGAAATATTCAGCGTTTATTTCCTGGTTTGTTGGACTCCTGAAAAGCAAGTGTACCACATCTGTTTGAGCGTTACCACCGGTTACCTCACAGCTGGAGCGTACACTAGCATGCGGTATATTTGCACAGAGGGCTGAACGAGCCATTCAATGTAAGCGTAGCTTAGTGCCACAGTGGTGTTGAAGGTTCAGCCCACAGCACGACGTGTGGACGTTTATCTGCATCACTGTTGCACAACCGTCTGCTTGGACGCGTCGCCTGAGCGAAACATGAAAGCTAACAGTAACATGACAGGCCTGCTGCACATATGCGCTGTCATTAGCACACATGCGCTGTCATTAGCACATATGGGTCAGTTAAGCAGTACTGGAGCAGTCAGATGCACGGCAGGAAAGCTAGAAGCTGGTTCATGTTTTAAAAGATTACAACGCGGAGATCACTGCGGCTGACCTCACCTCGACTTATATCCGCCCCGCCGTAGCCTTTATCGGCCGGGCCGTCGTCCGTGTCTCCGTTACCAAAGTCCAGATTAACCACGACCACGTCTGACGCGTCGTTGCC